CAGTTCATCGAATTGGTCCTCCACACAAATGAAAGCAAGTATGCATAGACACATGTTCAATGCTAGTATTTTGTATAAATTCCAATGTTGAGAACACTTCCTGTTCTCACGTTCTCTCCTTCCATCTGGCCAAAGGCCGATGGGTATACTGCTAGGAATACGATTTGGCATTCCAGGGCTTTCCAGTCCTAAAGGAATCACTGAAGCAGTGTCTGGAAAAGCACTGCATACCAGCCACAGAGCGACGCGCTTTCCGAAAAAATCACTCATATTAAAATAAATAGTCGTGTGCATGCAGTAAATAGGTCTGCGAATTGCCATAGGACCGTTGCGGCTTTTTGTGAATCATCAAACGTTTACACACCTAGACTCCATTAGGAGCGGATCTGTTGACATTAAATCCTTATGACACTAGCCCGCTTATTTGCCACGAAGCCATGGGGTTGGAGGCAGGTCGACTAGATTCACAACCTAAATGCGATGAAGCGAGAGATATCCTCCGTTGTTGCCATCGGTCTTGCTGTTGTCAGAATGTACACCATCCTATTCGAACGATTGCGCCACAACCGATTTGCCAGTAGTCAACGCAGGGATGCATCTTCTTTCCTTCTGGTCGCACTTTGCTAATGCTCATGCTTTGCAGTGCATCCATTTGTATGGAGTCAGTTTAATTGATCGACCGGTGGGCTCAGAGGTGTTCACTGGGGAGAAACATCTACTGGGTTCAGTTACCTTTTTGAAACAAATAACATTTCACTGGTTCAGCTACCGAATCTTGGCTAACTTGACTTGCCCAGTGTTTTGTTATGGTTTTCCTCACTTCGCATTACTACTATAAACTTTCCTGTACCCACCATACATCCACTGTGAATGAAATATTTCTCTCCTGTTTAGCAGTTGGTCTAGTCCATCCGTTGCATTGACGTTATTCTTACATCCTCAGAAATGGTTTGAAAACGCTTCATTATGATGCGAGCTTGCGTCTACCTAGTGATTGCTCAGTGCATGGATGTATGTAAAACTTGATGACCTTGCACTTTTCTGTTGTCATCCCAAACATTTTCGCTCTTACACCTGCAGTCCCTTGCCTTAATTGTCTGGAGGCAAAGTTGCTATTGCTTGATAATTCTGCATCAAAATGCACCTTGGAATTCAGCCTGAGACGACTGACACTATGCTAACTGTGGATCAACAATGAATCTTAAGCCTCCAAGCATCCTGTTACGACCGAAGCTTGGGTTCTTCCAAGAGGAGATAATCTCCTCAGTTCTTCTCGAGTGGATGGGCCCTCGATATACTCGGCCAGAAACCCGCAAACATTCAGGAACACGCCAGACAGCCACTCCGTTTTATTAGGACACGCCAGTATCACACATCAGCCGCATCCAAATAATTTACTTTACTGTTACGAGTCATCAACTGATTCAACTGTGCTGTTAGTGAGGTGGGTGAACAGAGGATCCCCTTAAATCCAGTCGTCTCAATGGTTGACGCACCATACCGAAAACTAGCCCGTTGGTTAGCGAAACTCACTGAGCACATCCGGAAGGGACTGTCACGTGGCAGCATAAGACATACACCGGCATTTGTCAAAATGGCATGTAATTTAAACGTAAAAGAGAAACATGTTCTTCTTTAATGAATGCTTGTTATTCACAAATGTCTTTTTGCTAATAGCCAGGCTAGCTGATACAGTCGAGATCCCAGTGCATCAACTAAAGTCACTACTGCCTTTCTGCATGAAAAATATTCCCTTCCGGTTCAATGGAACCCTATTTTGGCCAATCGACAGCATGGCCATGTGCAGTCCATTATTCTAACTTTCAGCTGAAATCTTTATGGGCCACTTGGAAAACATTGTACTACATTCTACTAACATAATGTACACATTTATGGCCGATATTTGGATGAAAAGTTTGTAGTTGTTGACACTCGTCACCAGGCGGCACACATACTGGAAATGATGAATGAGTGTCATCTCACGATCAAATTCAAGACAGAAAATAATTCTGATGGATCCTTTCATTCCCTGGATGTTACCTTGCACAGAAAGCTAGATAGTCTGTGTACAAGAAACCAAGATAGACCTGAACATTATTACCTTCTGCCCCATGAACTACAAGCAAGCTCTAGTCCGTACGGGATTTTCCAGGGTCCAGAAATTTCTTCTCCGGCGACTATTGAATGTGTACTGGGACACATCACCTCAACAGTACAAATGAATGGATATACTAAACGATATATATCACGGTATACGAGCTTACAACCAAAAGATAAACCAACAACAGATGTTCCAAGGGAAATGGTATTTATTACGCTTCCGTTTAAAAGGGGAGCAAGTGGACAGAAGATGTCGGTAACGTCTTCGACAATCTATCAAGAAGCGCTACTACGACGCTGAGCTAGTGGCATTGCACCATGTCATAAAGCTGCCGTGCATATCAAACCTGGAGAGACAGGACTCTCAAGTTACCGCCTCGTGCGTTTAACATTTTACCTCATGTTTGCGCTAGCAAGTACGTCGGCAGCACTGAGAGAATACTGTCAGCGATGATTGCAGAGCACGTCCCCCGGTACATGGTCGCAAATGGCCTGAAACCGTCTACTAGCTCTATGGCACGTCACCTACTTGATTGTCCCGTATGCGAAACCCAGGTGATGGGGTTAAGTTAATCAACAAGCAGAGCAGTCCCCATCCACTCCAGTTCGCTGAGGCCTCGGTCATTCGCCGGTTGAAATGAAGTTTGTGCAAACGAATGAACTTCATGACCAACCTCGTCCTACCCTGGTGAGGCTAGGGTCGTTTTCCTGTGACCAGGCAATGTTAACTCACGGATTTCGACATGTTTAGATTTTCGCCGAAAACCTTGCAACTCGATCGCATTTGCCATGTAGACTACCCAGTTCACAAATTGTTTCTAAACAGCAGAAGAGAACACAAGAAATTACTGAATTCAGTATATCCTGTTAAAATATAGTTTTCTTTTGCTATTTTGACGTATTTTTCTTAGACTTGGGAAAATTATGGGTAAGCAATATAGCCAGCGAGGAAGAATACAGTCAGTTTATAAATTAGAGAACAGCGTACAATGTTAATATACGCACCTTGCACCACGATTCGTCAACGTATGTTGATCGTGATGGATTATGAGGAAAATATTCACAAAGAAACTCAACAGTGGATGAAATTGTTAGGTTGTGGTCACTCACCACCAGGTGGCAAGAATGTATGCCACGAACAGATGTTCGTCAGTGCGCACGCGACAGAAAGTGACATCGCGGCGTTGAGAAACATTGAGAGTAAACATTTGGGGGACGACCACTGCTGCAACTCATTCAATTCACTTCGGTCAGCCGTTGATGAGATAGTAGCTGGATCACTACTGCATAGGACGAAGTAGTTAACATAATGCTATTCGAGACGCAGTTGGCGGAATTGGAAGCAAGTTAAATCAGCTCAGTTAACTGAATAAAATGCGCCTGGTACATCTACGAAGACAATGATCTTTGCCTGGCCAAACATATGATGACCTTCGAGTAGTCGGTGGAGCCTAAAGATGTGACCAATACAACCCCGACTTCAGCGCAACCCTGCTTCCTCTTCCCGTGTGCTCTTCTCTCTGTGCTCTGCTTGCTTAAAAGCAGATTGACGAGCACCATAGAGGCAACACAGATGCAACTAATCCCTCTGTGATTTGCACAGTCAGTTCGGGCACTTATTTGAAGATGAACATTAAATCCGCTAAGCTGCAATCATATAAGATGAATTCGGCGACCTAAATCACTTGGCGTAGGGATGTCAACAACGGAAGGATTGATGGCATCCATCTTGGAAATAAACCGGAGGGCGTTCATCTAAGTCAAGGAATTTGTAGCGCTTTGATAAGCACACCTCATGGACAACCTCGCCAAATTGTGCTGAATCATCTACACACCAGGAAACACTCGGGATTCATTAATGGGATATCGTCGATGCTCCTGATCAAATAAAATGCTGCTTCTAATGCCCGATCGAACACTCAAATCCGTATTTATAACGGCA